GCATAAGGACCAGAGTTCAGTCCTTCTATATGGAGGGCTCTACAGTGATGTCTGAGAAAAGGTGGTACAACTGTTTCTGTCCCATAGCACAATTCTGAAACATATAATCTATGTTTGCTTCTATAACTCCATGTTAAAGTTGAACATGTGGCCTCCAGGGTCACTTATCAAATAAACTATGTCCACTTTATCAAATAAACTCTTAAAAGGCTCTGCCCTCCTCCCTCCCCCCTCCCCCCTCCCCCCTCCTCCCTCCTCCCTCCTCTCTCCTCCGTCCTCCCTCCTCCCTCAAGGGAAGCTGAGCAGCTAGAATCTGAGTCCGTTTAGATTTTGAGCATATAGATGGGAAAGTGGGGAGTGACATGGTGAAAGAAGGCATTTGAGGTAGACAGAAGAATTTAGGGAAAAGTTGTTGCAGCTGCAAATGGAAGGTGATGAAGTAGGCTGCATAGAGGTCATTAGAGAAGGATGGGGAGAAGGCTAAGACTGATAAAAAGTCATTGGAAAAGATGCTCATTTGGAAAAGTTGGAGCATTGGACAAACTGGTACCTGAGGGGGGAGAGAGGCAAAAGCTGGCAGGGTCAAATTTGAAGGAAGCATCCTCTAGTGAATGAAGCTTGTTTGGAGATTGCTTTTTACAGAGTGACTGAATTCATGAACCTTTCAAGACTGGTAAAGAAAGGGGTAAATTTGTATTATAGGTACCACTGTATTATAGGTACCACTTTCAGGGCACTAACATCCATTTTCTATTCAATACACTGGGTAGACATTGTTATAAAAGAGCCCAATATGTGGCTTGCGTAATAAAGTAAGTGGGAGAGAGTAAAAGGGATACAAGTATTTTGGAGAGAGTAAACGGGATACAAGTTTCTCACCCTTAAATTCACAGCCTACTGGTAGACTCAAACTGAAATATTCTATAATGGGAGGGGACTGCCATGGGGAGTAACCTGACTCAGTGCTCAGATTTTATCTGTGTCAGAGATGGACAGGTGATCCTAAGACTTGAAAAGCTCACCAGGGGAGAAAAGAGCCACTGTTGGTTCAAATAAATTGTGTCATAGATGGAAGATATAGAGAGGAGAAGCCCCAAGGGGAATTCTATGTTCACAGAACCTCTGTGAGTCACAGGGCACAACTATGGAAAGTCTCAAATTTGACATAGAAGAAGAAGATTATCCTACAGGTCACGAGGCTTAACTACATCCAAAGAAAGTGTGGTAGAATCAAAAGGGACAGAGAGATTTAGACCTGCGAAAAGTAAAGAAGCCTACTCTAAAGCATTTAGGAAGAGAAGTTAGAGGGCTTCCCTTGCAGTATAGGAATCTAGAGGGTATGAGGGAGGCATGAATAAAAGATTCCTTACATGGATTTCTTAGATGGAACTTAGTGTCTTGTGTCTGAGGTCTCCAAGTTTCTAGGCTCTTGTCATTCTCATGGAGTCAGGATACCTAGGGAGTTTTCTTTACAAATACAGACAAGGAGTTTGCCTCTCCTCTCTCTATAGCATCAGGGATTCAAATAGGAGGTCTTTCACGGATAGAGAACTGCTACACACCTTCGATCTAGCATTTCCAACAAAATGTGTTAATCAAATCTATTATACTATAAAATTATTCCTTGCCAGTTGTGGTTTAAATGAGAATGGCCTCTGTAGGATCATATGTTTGAATGTTCTGTTCCAAGTTAGTAGACGTATTTCGGAAGGATTAAGAAGATAGCCCTGTTGGAGTCATTGTTTGAAGACTGGAGGTCTGAAGATTGAAAATCCTAACCAGAGCTACTCTTGTTCTCATTTGCCTGCTATTTATGGGTCAGATAGCTGAAAGCCAGCTTCAATCGGTCGAATAAAATTAGGAGAGTCATGGGGTTGGTGCTTAATCATTCAGCAGACCTTTCTCTGAGGGAGTAAAATTTAATTATCTGGGGCCAGTGAAAAGGGAAGAACACACACACACACACACGCACATGCACATGCACAAATTCCGTGGATGAAACTCCAACAAGTTTCAACAACTTTGTTTTTTTCTCTTAGCCTTTTTATGTCACCTAAGAAAAAATTCCTATGTAATAAAAAAAAAGATTACCCCAAGCCACAAGTTATATATTATCCATAAACAATCACTACAAAAAAAATTAATCTTCAAAAACAGATTAAAATAATTACATAAAGGGAAATGACTACAGGATGATTGATTATGTATTCTTATTTTGAAATTCATACCTAATACATTCTATACATTTTCCTTCTTTCCATAGCATGACATCATAACTCCAAAGCAATAACCGTATTGTCATTGATTAACAAAGTTTAAGCAAGACATTTATACTAGCAAGTTTTTTGCTATGCTTAGCTGATGACAATTTGAATTTACCAAGAAATAGATCATCGGTCTTACATCTTATTTTGCATTCTTGTTCAGCTTAAATGGCTAATTATTCTATTCTCTATTCTTATACTCATAACAGAAGTAGTTACTATTTATTCATAACCATTTCTTTATGTGGTGCACACTGAAACCTGTGACTATATTTCTAGATCACAAGATTTAGGGACTCAGACTCAATCTAGAATGAGTGTTTTCTTTTTTTTTTCTCTTTTTTTAATGGTGTTTACATTTTTATTAGCCTGTAATTATGTCATTCCTGTGATTGTTTTCCTTTTCTTTTTTAAATTAGACATTTTTTTTATTTACATTTCAAATGTTATTCCCTTTAACAGTTTCCCCTCTTTGAACCCCCTAACCCATCACTCCTTACCCTGCTTCTATGAAGGTGCTCTCCCACCCACCCATCCACTCCTGTCTCACCACCCTAGCATTCCTCTACACTGTGACATCAAGCCTTCACAGGACCAAGGGCCTCCCCTCCCACTGATGCCAGATAAGACCCCTTCAGCTCCTTCAGTCCTTCCACTAACTCCTCCATTGGGGTCCCTGTGCTCAGTCCAATGGTTGGCTGCGAGCATCCACATCTGTATTGGTCAGGATCTGGCAGAGCCTCTCAGGAGACAGTTGTATCAGGCTCCTGTCAGCAAGCACTTCTTGACATATGCAATAGTATCTGAGTTTGATGTCTATATGTGGGATGGATCTCTAGGTGGGGCAGTCTCTGGATGGCCTTTCCTTCAGTCTCTGCTCCTCTTTGTCCCTGTATTTCCTTTAGACAGGAGCAATTCTGGGTTAAAATATTGGACATGGGTGGGTTGTCCCATCTGTCAACCGGGGAACCATGTGTAAACAAACTCTGGATATGGTCTCAACAGATTCATTCTCCCCTTTGTGGGGAATTTCAGCTAATATCATCCCTGTGGGGTCCTGGGAGGCTCTTGCTTTCCTGGTATCTGTAACTGTATGGGTGCTACCCACAATTTCACATACCCCATTGCTACACACCTCTGTGCAATTTCATGATCATCTGAACATTTCCTCCATTTTCTCCATCTCCTCCCATACCTGATTCTTCCCCTCTCTTTCCCCTCTCCTTCCTCCCTCCCTCCAAAGTCCCTCCTACCATCTTCCCTTGAAATACAAACACTCCTCCATTGTTGGTGGGATTGCAAGCTGGTACAACCACTCTGGAAATCAGTCTGGCCATTCCTCAGAAAATTGGACATAGCATTACCTGAAGACCCAGCTATACAAAAAATGTGTAAGACACAGAAAAGAAGTCACAAAAATTAAATGCACAACACCATTAGATTTTATTAGAAATCAATAAGATGATCTGAAAATCTCTATAGTAATACAAAGACCTTAAATACCCAAATAACTAAGAAAGCAAAATTAGAAGACATGTTGTCTGATGTTAACTCTACAGTCATCAAGGAAAAAAATAGTATGTAGTCAGAGGAAGAAAAATATAGAGCTTTGCTATCAACTTACATGGATGTAGACACTTGGCCTTTATAATTATGAAAAGAAAGAAGGAGTTTCAAACAAATTATCAGAGAATAATTGGATACTCATAGGCAAAAGGACAAAGAAACAAAATATCTTTGATTCACTCTAAATGGTATAAACATTAAGTAAAATGCATGGCAAAACAAATATTAAAACTCTAAAGTTTAAAATTACAGAAATAAAGGAGTATTTATATTCTCCAAGAATTTTGACTTTAGCAAATAATTTTGATATCTTAGACAGAAAAAGTCATTGTCTCAGTCCATTTAGGATGCCGAAGTGAAAAGAAAGACTCTCCAGCTTCTTAACAAGAAAATTTTTAAGTTACTTCTTTCATTTTTTTCAGATTATAATTATACTACTTTTCTTATAACTATGATTTCATCTTTCTTTTCTCCATCCAAACTTTCCCGTATATCCCCCTTGCTTCTTTTCAAATTCATGACCTCTTTTTGCTGTTGTTGCATACATACATGGGTATTTAATCTCAGATTCAAAATCCTCCTGCTTTTGCCTCTCAAGTGCTGGGGTTTAAGGCAAGTGTCACCTCACCTACGTATTCCTTATGCTGCTCTACTCAGGCCATGGCAGTGAAAAACTACCTGATACACACCTGAAATGCTATGAATAAAACTGCAGTACGATTCTGGGGCTACTGTTTGATGGGTGACCTAATGGAAAACGCATAACTGAACTGGTCATCAAGGTCAAGTGTCAGTTCTGCCATAGTCACTGATGGAGAACCAGCACCTAGCTACAGTGTTAGCTATCAGTCTAGATGCATCTGTGGAAAAAAAGGTCACTATGAACAGCAGAGGAAGAAGAGTATGCAATTTGTCGGTCCTGGAGAGATAGAGGGATAGAAAGAAGGAAATCTGGATCTACAAAAGGGGAGGAGCACTGAGGGAGGTGGGGAGCACAGAGCATTTCTCTATACCCAGCTGAACTGTCCAAGTATCCACTCCTGATGCAGAGTAAAACCTGGTGTCAGGGCTTGGGCTGTGCTGGAACAGACGATGCAGTGTTGTGAGGGCACAGGAGGATGATGAAGGGCTGAGGGCTGTCCTTGGAACAAGCCAAGATGGGCTAAGCTTCTAAGACTTGTTGCACAATGATTTGTCCTTGCAACATCTGATTTTATTTGTACTATTTCCCAAGATCAAGGCTCGACTAGTGCATATGTCAGAACATTTCTGGACCCCATACAGGAACTTGCCACCTAGAGAAAGAGTAGAACAAAGGTCAAAATGTGAGTGTTTGTCAAATCAGTGACTCAGTAAATGAGGAGTCAGGTTTCCGGGCTTCAGCATCCTCACTGAGATGACTAAGATCGCTTCTCTGTCCATCATCCCTCAGGCCCTAATCTGCTGACAGCCGGGACTCCAGTCCCAAAATTGCTGAGTGGAGTCATAGGGTCCAAGTCTTGTCTACCTGACTATATTCACTTAGAGGTCCTATGAAAACCACCCAGGGAACCACTAGAATGCATACTTTCTCTTTCTAGGTTTGTTCCTCTGAGTTACAGCCAGTGGAAGCTAGCAGAGATACAGAGGGAACTTCTTTACTTTAACAGACTAGCACATCCTCCCACAGTATCCACTTCTACCCTCCAGTAAAAGGAGGGGGGGATGTAGCCATCATCCTGAGACTTCCTGTTTTACATACCTGAAAACTTTACCTGCCAGACACATAATTTATTTTTTTGGGTCTTGCAGGGGGGTTCTTGGTGCAAACACGGCCCATTAGTGTTGGAGAAAGTGCACTGGAAGCATTTCAAAGCTGAAAGGGAAAAAGCAAAAGTAAGATACTCTTTTAGGGTATTAGATCTGTAGTGCTGATGAATTTAAAAAAAAAAATTCGTGGCAACGGAAGGTGTTTGCTGTGTGATGACTGAGTGATCCAAGGAGGACCATAAACTTGGTCTCACAAAAGCACAATTTGAGGAGAGCCAGAAGGATCCTTCACCTCGAATCCTGAGAATAAAAGAGGCAATGAGAAGGAAGGGCAAAGTTTGGATGCAGATGCTTGAGCCCACGATCCATGATGGGACAGTTCTTTCCAGCACCTCATTGTCTTTATCCCGTCAACTGTGGTGGGCTGGTGAGATTGGTAGTATTTGAACATGAAGGCTAACACAGAAAGAGCAAGCTATATATAGCTTGAAAGTGAAAATTTTTGAGGAATTAAAGAATATTTATATACTTAACAATTAAGTTTAGCAAGTAATTCCGATATTATACATAAAGTCATTGCCTTACTCTTTCCTCAGGAGAAGAGTCCTTTAAAATTAAAAAGAAGTCCCCTTTAAAATTAAAAACACATGTATTAGACATGCATCAATAACCCTCCAAGAGTACTGCAAACTTATTCTCCAGGAAAAACTCTAGATAATCCTTAATTTTGGATAGAGAATGGAGTGTGTGCCAATAAACCACAGTTAATGGATGCAGCCTGACAAGTACCATAGCCGAGCCTACCTTGAATGTGCCTGAACTACATCTACCTGTAATTAGGAAATCATGGAACACAGAGGCCATTTGATTTTCAGTAACCATGAGATAGATAGTGCCACTGACTGGGAGTAGGTCCCACCATAGCTGCTCAGCATCCCAAAAGAGTCTCATGGAATTTATTGTCCAAGGCTGTTTCCAGGGAGACTTAACTGAGAAGATCCACTCAGAATGTTGGTGGTACCATCCAATGGGCTAGAATCTTGCTCTAAATAAAAAGGGGATAAAGGATGCCAGCAAGAGCACCTGCCATCATCTCTCTCTACCTCCTGACAGTGTATATAGCATAAGCAGCTTCTTCACACTCCTGTCTCCATGCCATCTCACCATGGTGGACTGTTTCCCTAAAACTATAATCCTTCCCCCTCCATCAAAAACCCTTGCTTTTCTAAATCGTGTTTGCCAAGTATGTGATTATGACAATGAGAAAAGTGACACAAGGTCCTACTGAATGTGAATTATATTTGTACAGCAGGAAGTAAAAAATCAAATTGTATTTCTGTTAAATTTCAAAACATCTCATGCACAGAAATCTTCAGAGAAGTGTTTGCACATTGTACAACATTTAAAACCACCTGCCCTCACTAGTGAACTGTCCACTGCATACAAGATATTCATTTGAGAAGAAGGAATCTCAACTGACAAAAATATTCCACCAGATTGGCCTTTTTTTTTTAACTCATCTAAGTAATTACCATTATAAGAGAGAGAAAAAATATCTTTTATGTGGAATTCGTCTGTGAATTTTGTTCTGCCTATAAGGAAGCATGATGGCAGACTCTGAGGCTGCTCCTGTCTCAAAAAGAAAGCATGCTATGATACTGGCAAGTCCCAGGAGTCATCTATGATGGCTTCTCTGGGAACACAATAGATTTGAAGGTCTACATGTCACTTTCTTTTTTCTTTTTCTTTTTTATTGGCTATTTTCTTAATTTACATTTCAAATGTTATTCCCTTTCCTGGTTTCCCCTCTGGAAACCCTCTATTCCATACTCCCTCTCTCTGCTTCTATGAGGATGCTTACCCTCCCACCCACCCATTCTTGCCTCCCTGCTCTGGCATTCCCCTACACTGGGGCATCAAGCCTTCCCAGGACCAAGGACCTCTCCTCCCATTAACGTCCAACAAGGCCATCCTCTGCTACATATGTAGCTGGAGCCATGGGTCTCTCCATGTGTACTCTTTGGTTGGTGGTTTAGTCCCTGGGATCTCTGGGGAGTCTGGTTGGTTGATATTGTTGTTTTTTCTATGGGGTTGCAAACCCCTTCTGCTCATTCAGTCCTTTCTCTAACTCCTCCATTGGGCTGTAGGGAATTTTCTTGATTATGGCTAATGTGAAAGAGCTCAGCCAATCATGGTCAGTCCTAGACAAGGGCCAATGGTTCCAATGATATAAGAAAGCAAATGAGGGAAGCCATGAGGATCAAACACCAGGTCCAGGAAGCAGTGTTCCCCCATAGCTTCTGTTTCAGTTCCTGACCTAATTCCCTTAGAGATGGACTGTTACCTGGAAGTGTATAATGCTGTGCTCATTGTATTTTATCACAGTGATAGAGACCCTACCTATGACTCCACCCAAATATCCATCAACCAGCAAAAGCCTAAATTGTCTTCTAAATCTAAGTACTACCCAGCTGTAAAAAATAAAAAATAATAAAAAAAGGAGAGAGAATCTATGTAGATACAGCAACACATATAAATCCAAATAGAACTGTCCTAAGTGAAGTCATGTAGATGCAAAGCATCATCAGTTGTGATGGAAATTCAGCTCAATGGCAAACAGCTAGTCTGTCATTAACGGTCCATGCAAATGGTTCCAGTACTGTATATACAAAGCCCTTTCATCTAGCTTTGGAGCTTAGCTCTGTCCTAGACCACTTGTCTCACAACCATAAGACTTTGTGTTTGATTTCTAGCATCAGAAGAAAGAAAAAACATGAAAGAAAGAAAAGAGAAAATGAAAGAGAAATAAGGCCTTTCTTGTATAATTACAAGAACATAGTAAAATGGAAAAAGTAGTGTTTCGTGGGGGCTAACATGAGGGCATAATCACATGATAACAAAGATTTCTGGAGATAATTATCTTAAGAGTGGCGAGTGCTACATTACAGAACACGGAACACCTAAAAGGGTAAGTTTTACAGCATGTAAGTAGTGCTGCACTTACCTAGTTTTATTTTTATTACATTTAGCATGTGTTATACGCACACACATTTGCCTGCCCGTGCATTGTATGCATCATCACAGGTATATGGGAGTCAGGAAAAAAAAATGTGGAAGGAAATAACTAGAAAGGGTGAGTTTATTCAGTGGTAAGCCTCTGAAACAGCAATTACCTCTGACAAAAATAAGTCACTTTTATGATAAATGACTTAAAAGGCTGAAACTACTTTCTGTTGCTGCTCCAAAGTGAAGGAACCAAGCCACAATGAGAGCCATGCAGGGTGCCTGAGCTGACAACATAGGGCTGAAAGACACTTCACATGCTTTCACTAGCTTCATCCTGTCAAGAATCTTCTTTGTTCTTTGTATTTTCTTTGACTGCCGTGTCAACTGGGATCCATCCCATCCACAGACACCAAACACCGACACTATTGCTGATGCCAAGAAGTGCTTGCAGACAGGAGAGTGGCATGGCTGTCCTCTGAGAGATTCTGCCAGGATCTGAATAAGACAGATACTCACAACCACCTATTGGACTAAGCCTGGAGACCCCAAGGGAAGAGTTAGGAGAAAGACTGAAGGAGCTGAAGGGGATTATAATCCCATAGGAAGAACAACCATATCAACTAACCAGACCCCACAGAGCTCCCAGGGACTAAACCACCAACCAAAAACTATACATGTGTGGATCCATGGCTCCCAATACATATGTAGGAGAGGACTGCCTTGTCTGGCATCAGTGGGAGGGGAGGCACTTGGTCCTGTGAAGGCTTGCTGCCCCATCAAAGGGGGATGCTGGACTGGTGAACTGGGAGTGGGTGGGTGAATGAGAGAGCACCCTCTTAGAGGCAAAGGAGAGGGAGAATGGGGTGGGTGGTTGCAGAAGGGAGACTGGAAAGGGGGCAACATTTGACATGTAAATAAATAAAATAATTTTTTAAAAAACAGAAGAAAGCAAGGATGGTTCTCATAGCCTGTGTTGTTGTATCATCAAACTGTAAAAAAACAAAGACAGCCAGAGAAAGAGAGAGGGAGGGAGGGAGGGAGGGAGGGAGAGAGAGAGAGAGAGAGAGAGAGAAGAATCTTCTAAGACCATGCAAAAATAACCCAGAATAACTGAGGATGCTGGGGACTAGTCTCAAGAGAGAAGTTGAATGAATGGAGTATGGTAGAGAATAAAGAAAAGTAAAGAAGGCAAGGAATTGGGAAGGACACCAGAAAGGTGAAGAGGAAGGAAAATTGTATGAGACACCACAGAGGCAAGCGGGGAAGATGTGAGGACATGAGGATGAGGGATTTAGGGATCACCTCTGAATACCGTAAGGTCCTGATTGCTATTCTTCACCACTTCAAGTGCAGCAATCTGTGACAATTCGAAAACCTGTCTGTCAGCACCAGCCCCACCAACTGACAGAACCTCTCACTTTTAAAGAACCCCACCAGCAAGCAGGGGAAGCAGGAGTAAAAGGAGGTGCCATCTTGTTGTAGCGAAGTCCTGGAGCTATAGAAATGATATGTCTTCCCGGTGAACAGTCACTCCTCATGACTTAGACATGAAAGAAAAGCTCTTTACTGAAATGCCTGGCTGGCTGTGGCTAAGGCCAAATGAGAGTCAACCTTGAATACATCTCATTGTGGAAGCTGTAGTGTGTAACAGTATGGCCCACACCATACCACTCTGCCCACACATCTTCATTTGCAAATGTTCATTGCAATGTTTTGGATTCTCTCTCTCTCTCTCTCTCTCTCTCTCTCTCTCTCTCTCTCTCTCT